TCGTGCGGTCGTCGTGCGTCTTTGAGTACAGCAAGCAAGCAGCCACCCATCGCCCACCTCACCAGTGCCCACCCGCCCGACACAAGGCCCGCCGCCTCTCGGCTACAAGGCCAAGTAGGTAGATCTCCCCACCGGCGCTCTCGCTCTCTTGCCTGCCATGAGATAGTGATATGGATATAGGTTGGTGGTGGGCTTGCACTGCCGTTTAGGATTTGATCTTCGCAGATCATATCTCCGTCTGTTTGGTTTGTGTTTATAAGATTTTCACTACTGTGGGTGGACCATTTCTCTCAGTAGTTTCAAAGCGATAGATCGTCGTTAGCTTTCTATGTGCAAAATGTAGAACTGCTTAGGGGTATCACTCCTACTTATGTTGTTCAGTCGTGGAGCCTTTGTTTGGGGATTAAGATGTTTGCATTCGATATTAATGCTTGAATTTAGATTAGGATAAGTTATGCTAGCTACTAAATTGATTGAGTACAACCGTGTCCGTGTGAGGCGTGGTGGCAGGAAGAGGCCTGTGCCTAAGGGTATTGTCTATGGCAAGTCCAAACACCAGGGTATCACCCAGCTCAAGTTCCAGAGGAACAAGCGGTCTGTTGCTGAGGAGAGAGCTAGACGTAAGCTTGGTGGTTTGAGGGTTCTTAACTCCTACTGGGTGAATGAGGTATGTCGGTTTGTAACAAGAAAATTTGTCTACAAATTACTAACTTATGGGTTTCAAATCTGTGTCCATCTTTCCTAACACAGGATAGTACCTACAAGTACTTTGAGATCATCCTTGTGGATGTTGCCCACAAAGCCATCAAAACCGACCCAAGGATCAACTGGCTATGCAACCCCGTGCACAAGCACCGTGAGCTCCGTGGCCTCACCTCCGTAGGCAAGAAGTTCCATGGCCTACGCTGGCAAGGGCCACACCCACCACAAGAACAGGGCCCTCCAGAGAGCCACCTGAAGCGCAACTGCACCCTCTCCTCCGCCGCTATCACCGAAAGCAAATTTGTCAGGGCTTTGGATCTCACATCGTCGAACTTGTCCCAAGCAAAACAAAAACTTTGGCGTGTTTGGTTGCATGTAGGTGAATGTGTAAGATTTTAATTGTTGCTAATGATGGACTTTTGTAAATTATGACTTGTGATGATGTTCTAAATAATGGTCTTGTGTTTATGGATGTATATATGTATATTTGTGGCGGTCAGATTCGAATTTGAATTATATATATACGTGGTTAGATTTGAATTTGAATTATTTATTTTTTTGCTGGAAAATCCACTGTAGGGGCGGTTCTTGATTGAACCGACCTTACAAATACACATAGCAGGGGCGGCTGGTGATACAGCCGCCCTTACAGAAGTCCACTACATGGGTGGCTGAAAACACCAGCCGCCCCTACAGAGGGCACTGCAGGGGCGGCTAGAAAACCGCCCCTACAGAGGCATCCTCTGTAGAAATACCCTGAGAAGGACAGCTGGCGCAGCCGCCCCTACAGTTAACTTCTATAGTAGTGCACGACGAGGACAATAGTATTTTTTTAGGTGCACTAGACTAGACCAGATATTCACATTTATAGCTCTAAATCAATTTAAATTTTGTAATTAATCTAATAATATTTATTTGATGTTATAAATATTTATGCTTTTATAATAATTAGTCAAACTTAATATACTAGAAAAATGACACTGTTTTAGAATTACATTTTTTTAGGAGCGGAGCGAGTACCTCATAGTAGTATTTATTAGGGAAAATGGTGTTCTTGCCCCTGTCCAGCAGTCCAATTGTGATTTTGCTCTTGTTTTTTCAACTTTATCATTTTGCTCCTGTTATTTTAAAATGAACCATCCATTTGCCCCTGGTTTGGATGTCTGTTAGATGGACATGGAATAAATGAATTAAAAAAAATCAAAATCCCTGCAAACAGAGGCAAAAAGACCATGTTGCCCCTCATCTTATCTTTAACCTCCTGCTCGTCCAGCCACAGGCAAACCACACGGGTCGGGGATAGATCGAGCGGGGGTACACGCTTCTCCTCCGGAGTGGTCGGTGTCAGCTTAGCAAGCATCGCGGGCGCTTGACGGTCGGTCCAGCCACGGGCGCGTTGCAAGGGGGACAAGGGGCTCACTACGGGCGTGGCGCCGCCACGACGACACGCAGCATGCGCAGGGCAGCAACGGTGCCCGGCCGCGACGCTCGGGTCAAAGCACGTGGGCGTCGCGGCATGGCCGGCGGGCTTGAGGGAGAGGAAGGACCTCCTCACCTAGATCCACGCCGTCGGAGAAGGAGACAAAGGAGCTCCTCGGTCCCCATGCCGCGCCGTCGCTGGAGGGAGGAGATAGGGGGCTCCCCCGCGCCGCCACCGGATCCGATGTCCCCGCGCCGAGCTACCACCGGATCCGTCGTCCACGCGCCGCACCATCGCCGGAGGGAGGAGAGAAGGGGCTCGATCCCCCGCACCGCCACTAGATCTAGCCGGGGGAGCGGAGGAGCGTTGCCGAATCTTGCCTCCCGCCGCATCACCCGCCTCGAGCCGCGAGGGGATGCGGCATGGCCCTCACCACCACTGCCACCACAAGCTCCAGCCACCGCGCCCGTCGGGGGAGGAACGCCACCGGGGGGGGAGGTGAGGCGCCACGGGCTGGAGAAGGAGAGGGAGGGGGAGGGGGCGCGCGTACGTGAGGAGAGAGTGCGGCCGCCGCCGCCGCCCCTTGTGTCGGGCTGGGAGACGCAGAGCGAGAGGGAGGGTAAAATCACAAGGGCATATTTGTCCTTTGGTACAAAAGTTAACACCGTTAGGGGTGGATGATGGAGCAGGGGCAAACTAGTGCTTCGTTTTGAAATCATAGGGGTAAATTCACAAAGTAAAAAAACAGGGGTAAAATCACAATTTCGATACAAAACAAGGGTACAAACGCAAGAGCCCCTATTTATTATTTAAAGAAGAACACAATGTTTTTATATTAAACAATAGCCATTTGATGATGCGAATAAGAGAAAATATTACATTTTTATAACAAAGAAAATACCAGCCAACATCAAGTAAATATGAACTTGCGGTATTTTGGCCTTGAGTTACTGCAAGTCATGCAGAAGTAAACGACGTGTATCCCTTCTTTTATATGATAAGATAAATGAAGCATGTATCCCTTCTTAATTGTAAGAGAGCTTACTATATTTTAAGCCTAATGATAGACAATAATGATAAGTATGTATTTGATTGATGTTTTGAGAGAGTTAACTCAACAAGAACGCTTTATGATCTGAGACAAATTTTGAATGACACCTTTCTTCTTCCTTAGGGCCTGTTTTGTTCAAAGGACTAAAGTTTAGTCTATATCGATCATATTCGCTTATTTTATAATACGTCTTTTTTAGTTTTTTTTAGCTAGAACAATATTTTTTCTCACAATAAATCAGCCGGAACAACGTTTCGACTTGTTTTTTCAGTGAAGCGAACGGGGCCATCATATCGGTTGGACACTAATTTGGAGTATTAAATATAGACTAATACAAAACTAATTGCACAGATGTTGACTAATTTGCGAGACGAATCTATTAAGCTTAATTAGTATGTGATTTTGATAATGTGGTGCCACAGTAAATATATGCTAATGATGTGTTAATTAGGCTTAATAGATTCATCTCGAAATTAGTCACCATTTATGCAATTAGTTTTATAATTATCTCAAGTTTAGTTATCCTAATTAGTATCCGAACGTCCGATGTGATAGGGACTAAAATCAAACACTGTTGATGCTTATTGAAAAAGGTGCATTCCTTTATCGGGCTGCTTCAATCATAAGTTGATTCTTTGTTTTATCCTAAGAAGAAATTAACCCGCAGCTGACTAGGTATATACTCTATCGGTTTCAAAAATAAATCAATTTCTAAAATACATGCAAGTGAAACTTTTTTAAATTTGACTAACTTTATAAAAAAAAAAAAAAAAACACATCTATGATATAAAATGAGCATATTATAAAAATATATTACATAATATATCTATTGATACTAATTTAATGTTATAAATCTTGATAGGCTTTTTAGAAATTGATCAAATTTTAAAAGTTTGATTTAAGATAGCTCTGTTCACATAACTGTACTATCTTTTTAACAAAATTTATTAAAATATATTGGTCACTCCAACAGCTCGTTCGGATGGTTTGCTGTATAGTATTTTTTGGATTTTTTTTATGATTGAATAGTATTTTGTGAGAGAGAATAAACTGAAATAAGTTGGAACTATACTAGCTGAACGTGGTGTAAGACTGCGGCTTTGTTCTACTGGCTTGGAAAAACAAATTGATCTTGATCCTAATTTCGAAGATAGTTTCAAACTTGTTTCACCTTTCTCTCACATAATACTGTTCAATCATCGAATGAATAAAAAACACTGTGCACCGGACCATCCGAGCGAGGTGGCACAGGCTTCCTTTGCGCGTCTCGTCTCCTCGAGACCTCGACCCGTCGGTGTACCGCGACGGGGAGGATCTGCACCGGCACGAACTTGGGCGGGACGGGAAGAGAGCCGCGCCGCGCCGTGCCGCGCCGTCACCCGCCATCATCAAAACGGAGTCCAGTTCTAGCCCGATTGAATCCGACTTGGCTGGCCCCATTGACAGTGGCACAGGCTTCCTTTGCGCGCGCATAAATACGCGGTTTCCCAGGGTGGCCGACGGAAGTAGCGATAACTCTGCCCCTGTCCGCAGGGTCTAATACGAAAAAAAGGCGATTTGTTAGGATCAACTGGGAACCTTTGTCTTCAACCTAATACATATAGTCTTATCTATGAAAAACTCATTTTAATGCTAAAAGACATGATTTAAATGTGTGACATCCATTTGCAAAAGGTTGTCTCTTGATGTCGTCGTTGGAGAAGACAAAAAAAAAAAAAGTATTGAAGCCGCCTGTAGCGGTTCGAACCAAGCAACTATCGCTTCCGTCGCCGGCGAGCCTCGTCCTCTCTGACCGCCGACGCCGTCGCCGCCGCGGAAGGGGAAGCGATGGGGTTCTTGGACGGCCTCCGTCTCGACACGCTGCTGAAGCGCGTCTGCAAGTCGCTGCTCAAGAAGCGGCTTGGGGATCTGATCCTCGGCGACCTCGACCTCGACCAGTTCGACATCCAGCTTGGCCGCGGCACGCTGCAGCTCAACGACCTCGCCCTCAACGCTGAGTTCATCAACCGTAAGGTGCTTTTTTTTCTTCCGCCCCTCCCGCCTGCTCTCGCGGTTCCGGCGTCTTGTTCTCCCTCCCATGTGTATTGGAGCCATCGCAGTCCGCTTCCGATTAGGCGCAGAGGGAGGTTAGGTTTTGTGATGGTTCCATCGCCGACTGCCGCTCGCCTGTTTTCTGGATGATCGGATTGTGGCGTGGGGAAGTTAACAACTTGGGACTCAAGTGAGGAATAATAATTGATTTGATTGCTGGGTGGGTTTAGTTGTTTCATTTTAAATTCTGATCATGATTGGCCACTGTTTTGTGGCGCAAGTTCTAGTTGGTATTGAGGCAGGGGTTTTGGCTTTTTTTGTGCTGGAGCTGAAGATTGGTGGGGTAAAGAAGTGGGGCTGTAGAATTTTTTTGATTGATGTCTGTGTCAATTTTGGTTAATCTCAATCTGTTGTTCTATTGTATACTTCAGTAGGTTCTTATTAGTTCAGTTTGTACCTAAAAGTTTATGGAATAGCTGCAAAATCTGATCTTGGGGGCAGGAGAAGAGGCTATGCGCCTTTGTTGCAGTTCATTCATAGGAAGCATCCTAAATTGAAATACATTACAATGTAAAGCGTGTACACACCGAAATGCTAAGGGTGGCTAGTGTTAAATTCAATTTAGCAGAAAGTATCATGTGGCCAGTTAGTCTATGATTTTTCTTGCTGTTCTTTGTAGCTTCAATACTCTTTGTTCACTATTTTTCTTCTAATTTTATTCATTGTGGTACTTAGCATACCACAATCATCGCTTATTCCAATGCCCAAAAAAAAGTTGTGGAACCTGCAGAATTTAAATAGTTTGCTTCCTGTCTTAAAGTGAAATCATCAGTTAATTTTCTGTATTATTTCAGTTATCAGGATCCCCTATTATGCTGAAAGAAGGATCGATAAAATCCCTGCTAGTTAGATTCGCTGCTAGCTGCGAGATTGTTGTTGAAGAATTGGAGCTTGTGCTTGCTCCATCTGTTGCAAGTGAAGTTGATGATGTGCATACTGAATGCTCTGTCTCTGGTAGTACTAGTGACACGCAGACATTAGTCAAGACTCAAAGAAATGAATCCGATAGCAATCAGTGTTCCACTTCTGTATCTCGAGATGTGGATGAAGGTGTAAAGAGAATTGCCAGTGCCGTCAAATGGTTTCTGACAAGCTTTAATATCAAGTTAAAGAATGTCTATGTCGTATTTGATCCTCAAATCAGTTTGAATAGTGGAGTCCCAGAAACTAGTCGATCTCTAGTTTTCCGAATTAAAGAGGTGGAGTTTGGAACCCAACTTGGTCTATTTAAACTGGACAACTTTTTAACTTTCCATGAGGCGGTCATTGAGTTTTTGAAGATGGATGATGTCGACGCACTGCTTCAAAATGATCCAGTTAACAGAACAGATGACATTTCAGCACGTCATAGTACTACTGCAGTCTTCACCGGTCCCATTGGTGGCTTCTCAGGGAAGCTTAACTTAAGCATCCCATGGAATAAGGGGTGCTTGAACTTTGAGAAAATTGATGCAGATGTGTCAGTTGATTCATTAGAATTACGGTTACAATTCAGCAGCATCCGGTGGATCATGAATGTATGGGATTCTCTCCAAAGAAAGCCAGTAGATGAACAGAGTTGTGTTCATAATATTGCAGATATCTCTATTAGTTCTTCCAGCTCTGCCTTCTGTCCACCTGCTTCAAGCTCTTTGAAACCAGGTTTAGATTCTGTGATAGCCACCAGTGAATACTTGGCACAGAGCACATTTTCTCAAAGCAAGCAGGATAAAATTCAGGATTCTTTCCTTACAAGGGCACACGTGATAACAGACTGGATGGAGCCTGTTGCCCGTAAGGATCTAGGCGACCCTGATTCAGATTGTGACGAAAGGTTTGTTTCTGCCCTACATTTCATTCCTTGAAATTCTAATTAACTCTCATAGTGCACCTTGAAATTGATTTTGCCATATTATTGTCAATGTTGCTATACCACAATTTGCTTCTGTTTCTATATTTTGTGAATATTAGACCAGCAATAATAAGGTCTTCAAAATTAGTCCATTGGTCTGTGCATGCTTTCCAACTGTCAACAGTAAACAGTTTTTTTTTTCATTTCTTCTCATTTGTGGCCGCCACAGAACCCACTTATTGGCTTATTGCTATCTTCTTTCTCGAATTGTTCTTGACTGCATTCCTTTGAAGTCCTGTATTTATAATTTAAAAAACAGGGCAACTTGCAGAGGGCCATTGACATTATTTGCTTGAGTATTTCTCTGCACCTTTGATATATAGCCAGGAGTTTTAGTGGTCAAATGCACTAGTTTTCTCTCTTCTTTGGCTTTAGCATAAATTTCCCTATGCTTTGGCACTTAAGTAATTCTTCCATAAGAGTTTCTTGCTGTTTTCTAACAACAACAACAACATAGCCTTTTCAAATTCCAAGCAAGTTGGGGTAGGCTAGAGTTGAAACCCACCAAGAGCCCCAAATCACGATTCAACACTTCAATAGCTGCTTTCCAAGCACTCATATTCAAACATAGATCTCTAGGTATATCCCAAGCTTTCAAATATCTTTTATTGCCTCCCCATGTCAATTTCGGTCTTCCTCTACCTCTTCTCATATTATTAGCTTGGCTTAGAACTCCACAATGCACCGGTGCCTCTGAGGTCTCCTTTGACATGACCAAACCACCTCAACCGATGTTGGACAAGCTTTTCTTCAATTGGTTCTACCCTAGGCGATCACGATATCATCATCGTTCAACTCGGTCCATTCTTGTGTGACCACAAATCCATCGCAACATACGTATTTCTGCAACACTCAGTTGTTGAACATGTCGAATCTTTGTAGGCCAACATTCTGCTCCATACAACATAGCCGGTCTAATTGCCGTTCTATAAAACTTGCCTTTTAGCTTTTGTGGTACCCTCATGTCACAGAATGCCAGAAGCTTGTCGTCACTTGATCCACCCTGCTTTGATTCTATGGCTAACGTCCGCATCAATATCTCCATCCTTCAGAAGATCGATCCCGACACACCGAAAGGTATCCTTCTTAGGCACTATTTGACCTTCCAAACTCACATATCCCTCCTCCTGTGCAGCTCCGCCAAAGTCGCATCTCATGTATTCGGTTTTAGTTCTGCTCAATCTAAAACCTTTAGACTCAAGGGTCTGCCGCCATAACTCTAATTTCCTATTTACTCCCGCCTGGCTTTCGTCCACTAACACTACATCGTCAACGAACAACATACACCAAGGGATATCTCCTTGTATATTCCTAGTAACATCATCCATTACCAAGGCAAAGAGATATGGGCTTAAGGCTGACCCTTGCTGTTTTCTAAGTTTCATTTATTTATATTGTTGTGGGAAGCATGCTAGTTTTTTAAAAGAAGTTGTTTTGGGGCTGTTCTAATTACTAACCCCTTGTTATTTCTGACAGCATTGATCAGTTCTTTGAATGTTTTGAGGAATTGAGGAACTCCCAGTCAAGTTTAGGAAACAGTGGTATATGGGACTGGACGTGTTCAGTGTTCAATGCCATAAGTTTTGCATCCACTTTAGCTTCTGGATCTGATCAAGTTCCTAAAGGTATTCATTCCAACTTTGGTGTATTACTTTCAGTTTACTAATGGTTATGCCATACCTTCCACTCTTCTTGGTTTTGGTTATGAATGAAATAATGTGGCTTCTTCATCTGCCATTTTCTTTGACTCTTGAAACTATCCATGTTAAATGGATTGTTTTTCTTAGGAAAAAAAGTGGCATCCTTTACATGGACAGTCTCCAAAACACAGCTTTTCCCATCAATTTCTGTTGATGTATATGTTCTGAACCAATATATTGTGATATCATGAAAGTATTTGTCAAGCTGAATCTGTACATGCTAAACTATAAACATTCATCGAGATATTGTTGGTCAAGCTTAAAGTTCATTTACTGCTTGTGTCCCAAAAGGGCAACTTTTTGTATGTGACTCGAATATGTATCAGACTGTTAGCACCTAAGTATATCGATGATGGAACATGGTCTGGACCTCTGATTCAATTGATGGTATTGTTAAAAAACGTTTTTTTTTCTTTTCATATTATTAGTATTATAAATTGGAAAACAGATTTTAACTAACAGAGTAAACTAGTTGATAATGTGCTGAAAAAACACCCTTAACATTGGACGCAGTTCTCAATTCATGCAAAAACACTGCGCTTCATCAAAAGCTCATATACCATGTTCTAAGTTCGCCCATTATGATGTTGATCACACTTCTTTATTATGAATAGCAACAGAAGTGACTTATGAATAATAGCTTACTGACACTATCATGGCCATCTGTTAGTACCACAGGCATGAACAAAACCGTTGCATTTATTTCAATCGTGGAACCATGTGGTTGTAGTATTTTACTTCTGCCACTGAAATGATCAGATCATCCATATATATGACTATACTTATTTTACTTTTCATTTGGTAACAGAACCAGTTGTCAAGAGGACTTTACGAGCCTCCATCACCGAGGTATCTGTTCTTCTTTTGTTCAGTGATGACACAGATATCGAAAATTCCAGTGTTCCTGTCAGCGCAGTGGATGATATGAGAAATTCTGAAATGTTTTCGAGCTGCCTTTCCTCTGAGCATTTTGAGAAATCAATTATATCTCCTGCTACAGCTTCCAGCTTAAATATGCATCATCTCAAAGCCAAGTGTGAGAACATTCACCTTGATCTACAGGTATTCATTTTGTCTGTACTGGTACAGCAGTGCTATTCTTAGTCTATGCATCATTTTAGTTTCACCAAGCTTGGTGTTTAATATTTTTTCTTGTTGATATCTGCAGACTTATCCAAAAAATGTAAGGTTCAAGGCATCAATTGCCCAAATTAAGATTGATGAATACTACCGCGCCGGAAACAATAATTCAGATGATTCAAACCTTGGTAACCACTTCTTGAACAATAACTTGCGGCAAGGAGTTCAAGCTTCCCTCCCTCGGTGCCTGTTTGCTGCTGGAGATCACTCGGTGGAAACCTATGAATTTTGTGGCAACAGTTCAAGTGAATTGACTAGAGTTGAGTTGCTAAAAACTTTTGGCGAGTGCACATTCTATTATGATGTCAGTACCAAAGATCAAGATGGCAATTTAGTAAGCTCAACTTCTATGTCGATCTGTTTGGCGCCTTTGCTTTTATGGGTGCACTTCCATACAATATACATGCTACTGAGCTTTGTAAGTAAAGTTGAGTCTGATTTGTCACATGGAGAGCATAAAATTCAAAAACATGGTGACGAAAAAGGAAGCAGATTGACTACCAGCACAAACATGTCCTCAAGTGGAAGTCTAAAAGTTCAGATATCCCTATCACCGGCAAGAATCGTCCTGTGCTTTCCATCTGAGTTTTCATGGGATTTGAGCCACCCATCTGTCCTGGATAAGTTCCTGGTGATCGACCACACTTCATGTCTGAACATGGTAGGAACTGCATCACACCCCCAAAATGAAATGCAAAATGAGGTTCATCTTAGCAAGCCGTGTACCTCAATCCATTTGGCTCTAGGGAACATAGATGTATATTTGGTTAAGCCAGTCAATAATGTATTGGTTGGTAGAACTTTCTCTACAATGAAGATTCTTTCTGTTACTGGAGCCAGTTATAATGACTCTGGCATCACACTGATCAGGAGAATGTATCCTGTAACTGGCCCTGAGATTTTGAACAATGCTTGAGTTTGCCAAAGCTGCATGATGAAAAGATTACTAAAAAACAGAACAGCAAATGGGCTGGCATTTCCTCTTCAACACATGATCTTGCAGAGACAGGATCTAGTATGCGCCAGGAGCTCCTTAAGAGCAGTGAGCTCTTATTTCATGTTCAACTTTCTTGTGTCTCAGTACAACTTAGTAAAAAGGATTGTGAGTTACTAAATAAGCTGCTAGATCATGTCATTGAGGGGATATCAAATGAACAAACAAGCATTTCTGGAAATTCCAAGGACCAATCTGTTCTGATCAATGATATCTGCATTCAAACATCTGTCCTTTTTGAATGCAGTATCTTGGAAATTTGCACTGAATTGAATGAAACAGTGGAAGTTGGTCCTTTATTACAGGCAGAACTAAAAGGATCCTGGAACTCTCTTAAGTTGAAAGTTTCAAAATTTTCTCTTTTCTCCTGTTCAAATGTTGGAGGCCTCAACAATGCTAGTTTTCTTTGGGTGAATCATGCTGAAGGTGAGCTTTGGGGTTCTGTTAGTGCTAAGAATGATAAAGACCCTGGAGAAAGTAAAGATTTTCTTATAGTGGCTTGCAAGGACTCTGCCTGCAGGCGGGGTGATGGTGAAAGTACTAATGTGCTGTCTGTTGGCACTGCTGGCTGTTCTGTGACCCACATCAGGAACCCAAAGCTAAAAGAGAACTACACTTCTGTTGATGTTCGTTCTGGTACAATTGTAGCACCTGGTGGCCGTATGGATTGGATCAATGCGATATGCCTGCTGTTCAGTTCAGGTTCAGATAGAACTGAAAAGTCAGATGATAGTAACACAGTAAATAGCTATCAATCTGGTGAACCTTATTCGTCATCTTTATGTCTTGAGTTGGCTGATGTTGCTGTTAGCTATGAACCTCATTTTAAAAATTCCACTCTCAGTGCTGGAGCAGCAGACCGCAAGTTTTTCTCATGCCTTTTAGCTGCATCATCATTTAAACTCCATAATAAATCTGCATCAGCCTCTGCAGCTACTGATTTTGATATCCAGTTACGTGATCTTGGGGTCCTCATTTCTCAATCATCTGGCTCAACAAATGTCACTTGTAGTTATGGTGTAGATTACCTTCGTCAGTCAGGTTATATTAAGGTTGCCCAGAATACATTCGTTGAAGCTTCTCTAAGATTAGATTCTTCCTTTTGGAAGCTTGAAATATCTGATTCCCAATTTGATATTGGTACATGTCATGACACAATTTATGGTCTTATTGGTTTGGGATCCCAACTCCAGCAGCTATATGGTCCAGATATGCAGGATGCTTTAGATCATCTACAGTCTAGGTGGAATAGTGTTCAGCAGGCAAACAGGCAAAATATGGCTGCTGATGCATCAGACAAGTCTGAGAGCAGTTTGGAGATTTCGGCGGATTCTGGGGATTACCAGTCAGATGGATTGCTTGATGATATTATTGAGAATGCTTTTTACACAGAGGACTGCTTGGACAACAATTTTTGGGAGAGCAATTGCCATCACTTATTTAGTAGCAGTGAGACGGATGATGGATTTGAGCTGAATGCAGCCGCCACTTCACATGAATTTCTTAGATCTACTCCGAAGGCAATGTTACTCAAACATCACTAGAACAGAATACCTGTCCTGATCAAATCATTGATTCATATTATATGCCTGAATTTCATCAATCATTATCAACTCTATGTGATGAAGAGCATAAATGTACATCTGGTGACAATTCTCGAGAACCCTGGAAAGTGAAGATGCTGGATGGTATAACAATGTTCCTTAACAATAGTTGAGAATCATGTTTTGAAAAAGAAAACAAGCAAGTAGAGCAAGTACTTCAACATGAAGTGGCTTCTGTTTGCAGTTTGAATCCTGATAATCTGAAAGGAAAGGTTCATATTCATGATATAGATGTAAAGTGGCGGATGTATGCTGGAGATGACTGGTTATTACCTCAGAAAGATTCAACTAGCTTAACATGCACAGATGGAAGAGATAGGAGCTCTTCACTGGAATTTACCTTGAGAGGGCTCAGTATCCAAGTTGACATGTATCCAAATGGGGATGTTTCTATATCTAAGCTATCCGTAGCTGCTGAGGACTTAACTCTTTGTGATCAAAGTATCTATGCTCCGTGGAAACTGGTATTTCTATATTACGAAGTTATTATATTTACAAACTAGCTTTAGTTCCATGGCTAATGATTTGTAATCATTCTCATCCTTTTAAAAAGGTTCTTGGATGTTACAACTCAAAGGATTACCCAAGAGAGTCTTGCTCCAGTGCATTCAGGTTAGAACTGGAGACTGTGAGGCCTGAGCCACAGGCACCTTTGGAAGACTACAGGTAAATGAAGTATTACATTTCGACATAAGATTGGATTCATATGATGAAAAAAAGACCCTTAGCTTGTTTCTGTTAATCCATACTGAGTGTTGCCATACTCAATTGATTCAAAAGATTATTTATGCCATTCATACCTATAGTAAAACATTCTTTGGTTAGATTGTAGTTGAAAAACCTATGTAGTGGCTGCAGATCAGTTATGGAATAAGGCAGGATGCACTTGCTAATTTATGTTTTTGCATAAGTGAGTAAACATAAATGGTAGAGCCTACGCATCAGAGGCTCTATAAATGTGTCCCACTGGAGTTTGAGGCATAAGGCATTTGTACCCACTACCAGGTGACATTGATGCTACTTGGTCTGTCATGGCAAAGGGTTAGGCAAGAGGGAGGGAGGGCATAGGCATTGGAGGGTGTAGGGAGCCTTTGGGGGACCCCTTTTATTGCTTAGTCTAAAAAGTATGTTGTAGCTTAAAAAGGGAGAAAAAAAAAGGAGAGACATCTGAAAAGACATTGCTTGAAAGGTCGACAAAAGCCACCCAAAAGCCGGCTCTCACCTGTACAGGTGCATTGTTGCCACAAGCCGGGTCTTAACCCATATAATTACAAGGGTTCGAGGCCCTGATTCGTAGCCTCACAACTGGAGAACTTACCACCATCCTACAAGCATGTTTTCAGTGCTCTTATTTAAGAGAGCTCTTCATAGAAACAATATGAAATACTCTCTCACTTTTGTGCTCTCTTGATATTACAAATACAATTGATTCTCTTCTGTTGCACTATCCTAATTTTTGCAGGCTCCATCTCGAGATTTTGCCTCTACAATTGCATCTTGATCAAGAGCAACTTAACTTCCTAATCAATTTCTTCACGAATGATTCATGTAACAATGATCCTCATTTGCATTGTGAAAATGAGACTGTTGATGTGAAGAGCACAAGCAATGGAAGCAATACAGTTGTGGATGAGGCATTACTTCCTTTCTTTCAGGTATTTCCATGTTCATCATCACTTACTTTAACAGACGGCTCAGTGAACTACAAACACAATCGTCGGATTTTGTCGTATTTGTTATGGGCTCTTTGAATTAATCTAGGCCATTAGATGATCTTAAAATCTAGCAGTGTTGGTGGAGTTCTGGCTGGCCATGTGAGGCGCATGAGCAGCTTGGGCCCACCTGTCATTAGGTGGAAGATATGGAAGAAACGCCCCTTCTTTTAATAATATAATAATAATAATAATAATATTATTATTGTTATTGTTATTATTATTATATTATTATTAGTTTGCACTCAATGAACTGAAACCTGAGTGTAACACTAGCACACAATCATGTTGTCACAAGAGGCCAAGCAAGTGCTAATTTTGTTTGCTTCATGTGACAAACATCAATCACATATCATTTCATTGTAAGCCTCAGGGCTATTTGTCTTCAGTATATAACATTGTGATCTGTTTTTTCCTCTCTGATGCCAGAAATTTGATGTAAAGCCGCTTGTTCTGCACATTAATTATATACCCCGTCAGTTTGACCCGATTGCACTAGGCAAGGGAAATTACGCAGAACTTCTCAACATTCTTCCATGGAAGGTAAACTGTAGTGAAAGAAACACATTTAGTAGCAAAGAAACTTTCTGATGATTATGTATAATAACCCTGATATGAGATTTCTTGCACAGGGAATTGATTTGAAGCTTAAGCATGTTTCTGCAATGGGTGTTTACGGATGGAACAGCATAGGTGATACAGTAGCTGCGGAATGGTTGGAAGACATTTCTAAAAATCAGGTCCTCATCTCCCCTTGTGCACCTGTACTCTCAGATATGTATGCTCTTGCATGAGTAACACGGAACATGTAAAAACTCGATAGCAGAAAAAGTCTACAAGAAATAGAGATAATATGTAGTTTTTCTTGTGCAAATACAGAGAAAATACTAAATCTCCACTTTATTTATGAATAAATCCCCCTGTAGTCTGAACTGAAGTATCTGTTGTCTAGGTGCACAAATTGCTAAAAGGGCTTCCTCCAATAAGATCACTAGTTGCTGTTGGTTCAGGGACCAGAAAGTTGGTCTCTTTGCCCATCAAAAGCTACAAGAAGGATCGGAAATTGTTCAAGGGAGTGCAAAGAGGTAAATATAGATATATAGTGTAGAAAATATACAAATTATGTCAGCTAGCATTTCTGCTGGAATTGGATTATGCAGTGGTACTATGAACTGCTTGATGGTGACACCATCCTCCATTACCACTAACAATGACAGAGATTCATTTCTTATTTGACAGGCGCAGTTGCTTTTATTAGAAGTGTTACCATTGAAGCAGTAGGACTTGGAGTCCATTTGGCTGCAGGAGCTCATGATATGCTTGTGAAGACAGAAGACGCCCTTACAACTGTTCCACCACCTTTAGCCTCATGTGAAGCAAAACAACAAAACACAACATTAGAGCTAACCAACCTGAAAATGCACAACAAGGAATGAAACAGGTATGGAGTTCCTCTGCCTTGCATAACAATTTGGATCTTTGATAATTACTTACATTGCTGTTCTTGTTTGGGACTGCTTTTAACTCTTTGCATCACTTAGAACTATAATTTATGATTTGGAACTAAAGTTTGAAATATATTCCCAATGACTGAAGTCTGAACGTTGAACATCCCTGAGGCCTAATGGCCTAACAACTACCAACACCTTTCATGTAGTGCTTTAGTGTTATTAACATTAGTTAAAAATTTTGCAGGCATATGAAAGTTTAACTGATGGGTTTGGAAGGACTGCCTCTGCTCTCATTGGCAATCCTATTAAAGTTTATAACCGAGGGGCTGGTGTCGGATCAGTTCTGGCTACTGCAATCTGTGGAGCACCAGCTGCTGCAGTAGCTCCAGTCTCGGCATCTGCTCGTGCTTTACATTATGCACTTCTTGGGCTAAGGAACAGGTCAGTTTTTGCACATTCTCAACTCATTCTTAAGTATTTGTGCTGTTGTTATTTATACACTATGCCCCCTTATATCATTGATAGAGTTTTATCCACATAATACGTGAGTACCAAAGAGCTTGGATCTGTCAGCGGAGATTTTAAACACCGCACAAGAAATTATTTTTCCAGGTCATATAAACTTGATATTCTGAAGGGCGGGCCTGGTGCAAGCGGTAGAGTCTTACCGCCTGTGACCGGAAGGTCCCGGGTTCGAGTCGCGGTCTCCTCGCATTGCACAGGCGAGGGTAAGGCTTACCACGGACACCTTTCCCCAGACCCCGCACAGAGCGTGAGCTCTCTGCACTGGGTACGCCCTTTTATATAAACTTGATATTCTACTTTTATTAGTCTGTTAAATAATCCAGCAGCAGAAAATAATAAAGTCAGCAGTCGGACTTCTTAGTCACTAATTCAACGAAGTGGAGTAATTTTGATGTTTTTTTGTCGTAATCTGGCTAGCCGAGAAACATATTTTTGAAGGATCAATTGTGCCTTCACTTAGTGAAAGGAATCATGTCTTTGCTGCTAATTTGTGTTAGCAAAAAATTTTTTACACATTTGCAGCCTTGATCCTGAGCACAAGAAAGAATCCATGTACAAATACCAGGGACCCTCTCAAGCATAGACGTCATTGAGAAGATGAGTTGGGGTGGTCAGTTCATTCTTTGGCGTGCCTTACACCATCTCTCTGAAACAACTGGTTTAGGAGCTCCTGTGCCAGTCTCGTCCAGTGGTGAGGTGCAGACTTGTACAGTGTAAGCGAGATTCGCTATTGCAGAACTTTAATGCTTTTGAAAATCAGCATTATCTGATGTGTTCTTACAGACGTTTTGATCCATCTGCACAGGTGTACAGATCGTAGGACAGATTATATGTGGCATCAAAGCTTTACACTATGTAAATTAACACATAAGGGTTTAATTACCGCTCATCTTTTCCACCACGCAGGCACGAGGAAGTTTTGTAATCCCTCTTCGCTTAGTTTAGGAAGATACCCTAGGGCTTGCATGACTGTTCCCGGTGTACATAATGTGGTTGCTCTGTGAGTTGTGCGGATGTAAATATATATATATATCTTTTGCTTTGGTTGTGTGTGTGTGCGCACCTCTGGTCCGCTGACAATAAGTTCTCACGATTTGCATGTGTAAATATTATCATCAATGTTTTGAGCTGTTGCTGGTGTCATTTGTCGCTTTCATAAGAAAAAAAAATGGTGCATTAGTATTACTATTGCGCATGCCAATATCTGGGTACATTTGGTAAATGTTATATGTTGACCCGGCCAATATTACTTGAGAATGCTACTCCCTCCGTCCCTAAATAAATGTTGTTTTTAGTTTCTATATCGTAAGTTTGACTAGATTTATAAAAAATATATGCAACATTTGTATCTTCAAATAAATTTATTATAAAAATATATTTAATGATCTATCTAATGATATTAATTATGTATCATAAATATTAATTTTTTTATAAAATTAGTTAAAGTTATTTCTTGGGAAGCGAAAACGACAGTTATTTAGGGTCATAGGTCATGTTCGCTTCTCTTATAATCTGTCTTTTTCAACTTTTTTTTTAGTTGGAACAGCGTTTTTTTTCACAACAAATTAGCCGGAACAGTGTTTCGGCATGTTTTTCCAGCGAACCGAACGGGCCGTAAGGACAATTATTAGAGACTGAGGGAGTATGTATCATTAAAGTAGTAAATGTTATGTTGAACGAGGTGACCGGAGTTGGCGTCAAAGTTAATGACACATTTATAGCCCCAAACAACTCCTAGCTTTGGGCGTAAACTCTAGAAGCACCAATTTGAAACCTAGGATTCCTAGAACGCTGAAATAGAAAAAATATAGGACAGACTTCTATGTCACTTGCAATTCTACATGAACTGGAAATGTAGAAAAGTTTTTAATGGAGCATTTGGAAACAACATGTCAACATAGTAGAAACGATAGAATTCGGGGAGGGGAGAGAGAGACGAGAAACAACATGAATTAAAGAAAGAAAGATAGAGAGAGAGAGAGATAGAAAAGAGAGTTTTCAAGAGGTTGAACCATGTTAGATTTTTTGCAAAATTCCTTTGGATTGAGTCATTCCATAGAGATTTTGTAGGATTTCAAAGCCAGTCCTTTGTTCCAAAGAGCCATATAGGAAAATTTTCTAGAGACTTATGATCATACAAGGGGACCTAAATGTCGGCGTGTTTTTCAACTACGAAAGCATGTAGCTGCCGTAGCTAGAGGAGTCTGTCTACTGCACAACCATGTATTTTATACAATTTCAATTCATGAATTTTTTTTACACCATAAGATTAAGATCCAACAGCCTCCATCCTTCTTCTACCTCTAGTCTTCTTCTACCTTCAGACAATCACAAGATCACAGATCCACATATCACAAATCACATATTACAGAAAACAATTTTTTTCTATAGAAGGACAAAAAACAGAGGAGCTGGTTCCATTGCCCGGCCGGTGCTGGTGCTGCGCTGCTGGTGCTGACGGACTGCTGCTGCTGGTGTCGCGTCGCAGATCTGACGAACGGTTGCTGCTGGTGTCGCGTCATGGTGCACTGCTGCTGGTATCGCGTCATGGTGCACTGCTGGTGTACTGTAGATCTGAGCAAGGATCCGGTAGACTAAAATTCATGTGTTTTTTTTTGCTAAAACACATATGTGTTATATAGCATTTCTGTATTTAAAGTCTAACCAAGCAGCGTCCTTTTACTCGTGGTCGTGGCGCCCGCAGTTGAGGGCTGGCAAGATATGGCGGGGAGCCAAACATCCTCTACCTCTGCACCTAAAAAACATGAAGGGTTATCGTCGTTGCTCAGAAAATCGCCCGCTCATCATCTGCTCACATCTATGGAGTTCGTATTGTCCGCGTGTGGAGTCCACGACGGAGATGGTCGGCGGCCTCAATGCCTCATCACAGTACTTTGCAACAGACCTGAATGACGAATGCCATCAGCCTGTTCGCTTGCTCGTAAACGATCGTAAATTTCCAGCCGGAAACAGTGTTTTTCTCTCACACCAATCCAGCCAGCAGTAAATAATCCACGATACGATACGGCCTCCCGAACAGGCCGCATATCCCTACTTCTCCTGAATGGACTCGAAGTTCTGCAGCGTGAGGCCATGTTCCTTACCTCTGCGACATGGATCCCTGCTGCACCGGTGACGGTCTTCCTCTTAGCATCAACGTCGAGCACCTTGTCCATGAGCGGACGGACGATCATCTCGGATGGGAGAGCACGATCTCGTTGGGGGACTCGAGCGTCCTGATCTTGCGCCACTCCTTGTGCACGACGGCGAGCATGCCCACAAGGCCCGAGATGTGGGAGCGAGTCTGGCTGGAGCAGGATGCAGGCGTGGACCCCATGGGTGCTCCGACAGTCGTCTATGAAGTTCGTGACAAAGACTGTCGGGGGTCTCATCAGATTATTTAATTCCAAAGCATGTATGGGATCACCATCTTCTACTATAAGAACCTGCTGCGGAACATGGGCCTGCTCCACTTGGACTAACAGCTCTTCAGCGGCAGCTCTGCGGATGCATAGACCACCCGCCTACGCGTCCAACATGGCAAGCTTCTTCAACGACTTCCGCGACGCCATGGTGAAGGTCAGAAATTGGGCGCTATCGACATTCGTCCGAAATTTTTTACAATTTTGCCCTTTTTTTTGGGCGCTATCGACATTCGTCCGAATTTTTTATAATTTAGCCCTTTTTTAAAAGTTTCTCACAAATAGACTCCTGACGGAAAGAATTCAGGAAATAGACCCTTAACTCGGCGCCATTGATGCTGGCGCCGAGCTAGGCGCCAGCGTCTCTGACGTCGAGCTCCTGGGCACGGTCGATGACCTGCCAGGGGGCTCGGCGCCAGAGTGACTGGCGCCGAGGTCGGCGTCGTAGATCTTGGCGCCGCTCTCGGCGGCAGTCACTCTGACGCCAAGCTCGGAAATATCTAACAGGCCCGCGCCTTTCCTCTCTTCTTCTCCCTCTCTCGCTCTAGCCGAGCACTGCCACCGACGCCGCCGCCCTTGCCCGCGCCACCGCCGCGCTCGCTCCCGCTCCTGCGCCGCGCCCGAGGCCGCGCCCGCGCCGAGCCCGCGCCGCCGCGCCTGCGCCTGCCACCGTGCCCGCGCGCGTGCCCTGAGGCCGCCCCCCCGCCGCGCCCCTCGCCGCACCGCGCCTCGACGTGCTGTAGCGCTGCGCCGCCCCCCGCGCCGCGCTGTTGCTCGTGGTTGGCCGCCGCATCGCGCCACGCCGCCTCCGCCGCCCTCCACCGCCGTCCACATCTTGCCCTCCACCGTCGGCCTCGGCCGCGGCCCGCCTTGCCGCCCTCCACCGCCGGCCTCGCCCCGCCTTGGCGCCGTCCACCGCCGGCGTGCCTCCCGCGCCCGTCGAGCCGGACTCGCCGCGCATAGCCCCGGGCATCCCGCGCCCGCCGCGCGCCACTGCTGTCGTCGGCCGCGCCACCGCCGGCCCGAAAAGGTAAAAATTATGAATATGCAATGTACCTACTTAGTTGGCATTTGTTATTTATTAGTTAATGTGATGACTCAGGTAGTTGATTTAGTTAGTGATCTAATGAGATATATATGTAGATAGATAGAAACATAGACACATAGGCACATAGATATAGTTAGATAACTACTTAGATATATAGTTACATTTTTAGTTATCTATATATGATCTAGCTATTTAGTGAGTACACTGTAAATATATACGTAGTTATTATCTTGATTACTTAGTTTGTAGTTAGAAAGTACTTGTTAGGTACTATCTATCGTCTAATTTGGACTAAAGGACATGCGTTTCGTTATGTGTTTGAATTAGATGAACAATCTAGTAACCATATATCATGGAGGCACCGTTGAAAGCGATCGCTATGGATATGTTGAGTTTCTTGACATGCAAAGCGTGCCTGTGCTATTCAATGATAGGCCTTCATTTAGTGACATGGTTGCAAGGGCTCGGGAGGAGCTGCATTGCCTTGGAGATGATGGCATTGCAGTTGATGGTATACTGCACCTAGGTTGTCCTCCGAACATCTTCAGGTGAATGATCTCAATTGGTTGTGCGGATCAATGGGAGAACTATGTAAGATCAGCTATGAAGAGCCAGCTGCAATGTTTGGACATGGTTGTGCGTCAGGTGTTAGTTGATCCCATCCCTCATGGGTTTACCCCAGCAATGAATCATCAGGCATACATCGACCCTCCTGTTCCGGAACCTTACCTGCATGTGCAGATTGCACCTACGGTTCCCGATGCTCAATCTGCCCCCAATGCGGTATTTGGAGATGGTTGTCAGACTCATTTTTCCGTGGCAGATCCTCCTTATGAGATCCCTTTGACACAAAATCATCTGAGTAAGTGTCGTAACCGCATGGTTTTTGGGAGCTTACCCCGTTCCTTACATCTATTTCTTTCATTCTTTCCTTATTTCTGTAATAATGTTGCAGGAGACATTCCTGAGAATGTGGATGTGCCCCCTGTTGCTGCGCAAGTGCACTTTGGAGATGGATTCCGTGGGTCAAATAGTGTTGAAATTATGCATGATTCGGAGCCATATGAGATGGCTAGGGCTCTTGATTCTGATGATGATCGCCCTGTTGGAGAG